ATGATTAAATACAATGATTTTAATTTCACTCGACTACTGGTGATGTCATTTTCATTACCCAGAAGCCTGTCCTGCTACAGTTAGACGAGGGTCAAGAAAGATGATTCAGAAGCACGTCCTGTGAGAGTCTCCATGCCATGCACAGAGGTCAGTTTGGGAGTGGCGAGCAGATCTGAGAGTCTACGATGTGAGTGGTTTTCACTTTTGTTTTTGGTTTATTTCACTTTTCTGGCCTTCCCAGCTTTACTTGGGAGTGCAATCTAAGGAAAGTATATTTGTTTTGCAAGCACACTATGATTGGCTCAGATTTTTAAATGACATATGTAGGATAACACCCTTCTTATAATAGCATGGTCAAAGGTCTGTCAGTGTTTCCATTAAAAATTCAAACTTTCCAGGATTTATTGCACAGCCATAACAAATTGCTCCAGGCAGAAACCTGGCAAATCTTTCTTTAGCGTAGGAGGAAATTCTTGTTAATTTTTAAAAGATATAAATAAATAAATGTTTACCATAGGAGTTTACTCATAAGATTTTTTTTGATATGGAAGGCATTCAGATTAAATACATGTTATATGTCTGCATTGTCTTTGTTTTACAAATTTGAAATATTAATATTAGCTCATAAGTCAAATTTTGCTGGAGTTATGCAATTGCCCTCCCACTTCCCAAATTTTCAGTGATTCTAGTATTTGATTCTCATGTTCGAAAGTCTGATTGATATAGTGATTCAGAGAGGAGCTGGACCAATCAACTGTGAATCTTTGTGTTTCATCATGGTCCAAATGAACATTTTTTCAAAAGATAAGATTTGTTTTGCTGTGAATTCCTTACAGACAGAGATGTCTTACTCATCTTTATTTTCTCAGGGCCTAATTACTATAGACATACAATAAATGGCTGCTGGGAAATAAATGATAAATATATTAAAAGGATCTAGAGAATTAAGACAGTCCCCATTCATAAGTCTCTTACTTAAATATTCGCTAGTGAACATTCACTATCGAGTAACTTTGAAAAACCTTTATAACTGTAGAGAACATGCTGCTGGATCTTGAACTTCTCTGATTCCTCTCATCCCTGAACACCTGAATGGATTATTGTAACAATTGAAGGACCCAATGCTCTGAAAGCACAACCTGGTTCCAAAACTTTTTTGAGACTCGGCTCTCCCATGTCTTATCCACCTTGTAGGAGTGTCTGAAGATGCCGTATGGAAGGCTGCGAAAAGTGGGAAATGCTCCACACCCATAACTGAAGTGTCAACCTTCACCACTGAAAACTTAAGGATAAACCCCTACAATTCCTGCAAAAGGAAACATGGTGAAAAGTGCACGTTTTTTTAACCAACATGTTTGACTCCAAATGAAATGAATTTAGGTGACGCAGTCTTAGGTTAACTGACCCCCAACGTTTATAGATAAACAGGAGTTACTCTTCGAATTGCCTTATGCTGTGTTGCGTTATCTTTATTTTCGACTGGAGAAAAGCTAAGGCATCTTTTCCAACTATGACTTTTGAGGTCCACTTTTTTTTTTTTGCAAGAATTCAAGCCTAAACTCTAAATAAATATATTTCTATTCTATTTAATTTCCAATCTGTCCAATTATTTAGCGGTTATAACTTGGTAAGCTGTTTTTGTTTTGTTCTGAATGATGTAAGAGGTTACTTCCAAGGAAAACTTACAGTGCAATTTAGAATCCCTTACCACTTGGAGGGCCCGTGCGCTTGTTTTACTAAGCACTCTTGTGCTCCCTCTGCTGCTGTGAAGAAAACCTTCACGTTCAGGACCCCAGCACATTCCTCACAGAGTGTTCTCTCAGCAATGATGATGCAGATTTGTGCATAAATCAGGCTCTTCGGAAATGCAGTACTATTTGAACAAAGCATAAAATATTACAATTTTCCATTAACAAGTGCAAATTAATAAAAAGGGGAGGGAATAAAAAAGGAATAAATGGAAGAACTAAGTTCTGCAGCCGTGGCCAAATTCATCCAGACAAGGCCCTGTAGTGTAGCCAGTGTTCTTCACTCTCTAACGCGCTTAGGATCCTGATTCAGTAGAGTGGGGTAGAACTCTCATTGCCAATGTCTAAAAAGCTCCCAGATGCTGCTGCTGTTGCTCTGAAGATTAATCTGAAGATTACACTTTCAGAAGCAAGATGTAATACATAATGATATGATAGGATATATACTTGAGAGCCCATCTTAAACCTTCAAAAGTAGATACTACCGAGACAGTGAAATAGCTAGAAGGGATGAAAATGATTTTCCTTGACTTTTAAGCAACCCAGAAAACAGATTAGGAGTCAGGCTCAGCAGGCCCTATTTCTCAATTTCCTCTAATTTCAAAGTTTGGCCTAGGCTTGTATGAATATAGTATCGAGTTTATGAATAGGACTATAGTACTACATATTTGCCTACTGGCTTCTGGAAAAGCCATCTCTTCTTTCTTTGAGTTTTTATTCGCATGAGAAAGTCTTATTTTTAAAGAATCAGTGCCAGTTATTGGTGATTGTACATTTAATAGTTTGCCGAAAATAAAACATTTCAGCACGAAAGGTAATGAAACTGCATCATGAGTATATGTTTATGTTGGCCCTTGCAGGAAGAAACAGTTACAGATTTTAACGGCAGTTTATGGCTTTAATCTTAATGGCTAAGAAAGTAAATGACACATTTCTTATTAATTGTCCTTACTGTTTGGGTAATACACATATTTAGCTTCCTAGAGGGAACACTTAAATTAACTAACTCTGATCTGAATTATGTGTTTTAATTTAAGGTTGTTAAAATAACTTAAATTAACTGCTTGTGTCAATGTAATAACTAAAATATTAGCTCTTTTTTTACCCCAAATTCTCTAAATGTAAGATGTCTAAAAATAGAGTGGAGGTGGATGGGATAGTCTGCAGATTATGAGTTGGAATAAAAATATCTCACTTAAGCCAAAAACATGGCAACCAATATTTTCTGTTATAAAAATATTTTAGATGAATCTAGTTTTCACGAAAGCTGTCTGAAACTGAAATGAATAGCAGAAGCTCTCTGTTTATTCGAAGGCCAGTAATACAATATCTGCCTCACAAAGCGGACGTCTTTGTCGTCCAGAGCCAAAAAGCTTCTGCTCCTCTCAGAAGCCGGCTCTGCCAAGTGGGAGGAAGACAGCTTACCCGGTTACGTTCTGAGATTTTAACCTTCACCTTGATAACGCTTCTCAACCGAGAACACCACCAGGCAGAGCCTTTTCAGGAAACTGATCTTAAACTGTCCACTAGAGGCTGTAAGGAGACCAACAATGTGACTTTCGTCCAACCTCGAGGTTTAGACTGTAGCAATCATTGATTTTTAAATGAAAAAAAAAAAGTTGTAGAAAGGAGTAAGAGTGAACAGTAGTAGTTCTATTTAAGTAGCCATGTACATGTGCATGGTATTTCAAAATGTGAGGAAAAAAATCATTTCCGGGGCTCTACACCTTGCTAGTTAGTATGCTTATTTTTATTTCTGTAGCACGTTGGCTTGACAATAATACAGTTGTTTAAAAGCTGACACATTTCTCTTGGTGATTCTGTATCCTGCTTCAGTTGGTGACTAACCGTTAGGTCATAAGTAAACTCAGCCAAGGTTTCTTAAATACAGCTTACAGTCAATAGCGGTGGCTTCCAGAGAGAAACTTACGTGGAGGGATCACGTTTGCAGACGCTTGGTTCTAAGCACCTGAAGGAGGTCAAATGCTGCCCCGACACCTACTGGTCTTCCAGAATTATCTGCATTAAGGAGGACGCCGCACCGACCTCCCTTTAGCATGGATGTGCCTTCTCTTCCTCCAGGTGCCACACCTGTTGGCAAGGTGCACCCCTCCAAAGAAGATTCCTTCCCGGCAAGCTAACACCTGGCGGTGGTACACGCGGAGGGGGCCGGGTGGTGGGGTGTTGACAACCGCGCTTAAAAATCGAGTCCAGAGGAAGTTCTTCAGCGTGGATTCACGAGATCTGCCATTCGATGCTTGGTTTGCTTTCTCTATCTCCTACACTGGTTACCTCATTTCCGATTAAATTAATGATCCCGAATTAGCTGCAAGAGGAGTGCGCGGGTCGTCTACCAAGGCTGGAGCTGGGTAGTTCCAGACTCAACGCAGATTTCCGGACCTGCAGAGAAAAAAGGAGGGCAGGGAGGTCACCCGCTGTCGCAGGCAGGAAAGGTAAGGGTGCACGTGCAGTCGAGGGGGACCCTTAAAACTTTCCTGAGTTGCATGCAAAGGCAATCCCCGCGGCCCTGTGGTCTGGGTTCCGGAATGCCCAGGCTAAACCGGTTTGAGGGTTAACGTGCATGACGATCGGAGTCATCCCTCTTAAACGCTTCTCGGCGCGCCGAGGGCGAAGGGTATGTCAGGATCAGATCTGGCCCACCTCCCCTTCCCCTGGGGTATTTCATGGGCTCGGAGTTGAAGCCCGACACCCCTCGGAGAGTCCTCCAAGGTGCCTGAGTTGCACCCCGCTGTCGCTCTGTCCCCTCCAACTAGGTGCAGGGACCTGGGGAGGCGCGCGAGGACCGACTGGTCACCGCTAAAATTACCTCATCGCCTCAGCTCCCCGCCCCTTTCCCAAACCTGGAAGAACTGTCCCCTGCGGCCCGGGTCTCCCCTCCCGCCCTCCGCCCCCCGCCCCACCCCGATCGCAAGCGAGTCTTTGGGAAGCGCGCCCGCCTCCCCCGGGGCCGCCCAGCCCGGCGGCGCGCAGCGAAGGGTTAAGGGCGCGGGCCGGCTGCTGCGCCGTGCGCTCGCGGTGCTCCGAGCCGCTCGCCCCGCCGCCCGCCAGAGGGTGCCCCCCCGCCCCCAAGTCGGATCCTTGAGCTGCGACGGCGGCAGCCAACTGCTCCATATTTGGCTTCTATTACACATTTACATACTGGAGCGAGCGAGCGAGCGAGAGAGCGCGAGAGAGCGCGAGGGAGGGAGGGAGGGAGCGAGGGAGGGCGGGCGGAGGGAGGAGGGAGGGGAGGGGAGCGGGGGGAGGAGGAGGAGGAGAGAGCAGAGTATACCGCAGACATCATTTCTACTACAGTGGCGGAGCCGTACAGGACCTGTTTCACTGCAGGGGGATCCAAAACAAGCCCCGTGGAGCAGCCGCCAGAGCTACAGCAGCCGCAAGACACTGTTTCTCTCCCTCTGCCCCCCCTTCCCCACGCAACCCCAGATCCATTTACACTTTACAGTAAGTGGCTATTTTTTTTCTCCTCTGATTCTTTCTCTCCCCCCTCCCCCAACCCCTTCTCCCCTTATTTAGATTAAAATCCCCCCCATCCCCGCTCTCCCGAGAGGGGCAAAAGCAACAACCAGCAAACAAACCCCAAACCCCAATCGGCGGCACGAAAAACAGCTGGAAGAGGAGCGAAGGAAATCGACGCGTCGTGTTGTGTTGTGTGTGTATGTGTGCGTGTGTACATACAACCTTCCCCCGCTCCAGCCGCCCGGGCCGCCACCCCTGCTCTGGGCGCAGGGACGGCCGGCAGGGGGGCTGCCGGGGGCCGGGTGGGCGCCCGCTGGGCGAGGGGGCGCGCCCGGGCTGGGGGCGCGGGCGGGGACAGCGGCGGCGGCGGCGGCGGCTGCCGGTCCGGCGGAGAGTGCGGAGAGCCATGTCCTCCTCCCGTGAGGTGGCGTAGCGGGAGACGGCGGCGGCCGGGGGTCGCGCAGCCCCCTCCTCCCGCGGCCCCCTCCCTCCTCTCCCCAAAGAGGGCGGCGGGAGCGAGTGGGTCTGGAGGAGGGCTGGGCTTCCCCGCGGGTGGCCGCCTGGCCTCGGAGCCCCCGGGCGGGGGTCTCCCCGCGGAGGCCGGGGGCTTACGGCTGCGGACCAGGAGGGGTCTGCGCCGGCGGTCGGGCCGGGACTTTGCGCGCGGTGGGAGCGCTGGGGACGCGGAGGGGTGGGAGCGGGGGGCGCCGGCGTGCGGGTGCCGGGAGCGCGGCTGGAGTGGCGGTGGCGGCCCTGGCTGCCGCCACCGCCGCCCTGTTGGTACGGCCGCTTCCTGATCATGTGCAGCCGCCGTCGCCGCCCGGAGCCGGGAGCCCGCGAGCGCCCCAGCCCGGGCCGGCGCCCCCGCCAGCGCCCGCGGCAGGAGCAGAGGAGCCGCGGCAGGCGCTGCCCTGCCTGCGCCGGGAGTGAACGGCTGCGCGGCTGCTGGGAGGGTGAATGAAGCCAGGAGGAGGGGAAGGAGGCGGCGGCGGCGGCGCTGCGGGGATTGGGATGCGCCCTGGAGCCCCGCTGCTCGTTCACTCTGGGCCGTGCTGGAGACTCTGCCACTCCCGCGGCCGCCGCCGCCACCGCCGCCTCTTCCTACGTGGTTCCAGCGCTGCGCGCAGGCCGGTCCCGCAGGGGGCAGGGAAGGGGGCCGGACAGGCGGAGCGAGAGGTGAGGCGGCGGCGGAGCCCGGCGTGAGTGTGAGTGAGTGAACGCGTGTGCGTGTGTGTGTGTGTGTGTGTGTGCGCGCGGGGGAGGGGGGCGGCGAGGGCAGTCGCGATGGGGAGGGGGCCCTCTGGGGCCACTTGGCTGACTCCGCAGCGCCCCGACCCCTCCTCAGCCCCGCGCCCTCAGGCCGCCTTCCTAAACTCTGTGGCATGTGCTTTCATTTTATTTCAGACCACGTAGTGGGCTGACTGGAAGCGATGAAACAATTCAGGTTTTCTAGGGAGATTGAGCAAGAACCTTAGTGGGGGGTGGAAGAAGGGTGATGGTGGAGATCTGCCAGAAAACAACAACAAAAAAATCAGTTTCTAAGGTCTCTGGGGTTCGGTTCAAGCCCGTGGCTGCTCTGTTTTGTTTTGCTTTCTTAGTATATAATCCTGCAGATAAGAGGGTAATATAAATACTTTGAAAGATTGGGAAATTGCTGAAGAGTAGTAAGGGGGGAAAAAAAAGCCAGTCGGAAGCTGGTTATATAATGCGCGATGTGGCTAACGAGAACGGCAAGCTATTTTTATTTTGTTTACCGTATGCTGTGCAGTAGGGACTCCTCCAAACTGGTTCTGTCCCCGAAGAGATTCTTAGCTTCCCTGTGCGATCCACAGGATGCAATTAGCAAGATGAGAAGACCCTATTACACCCACAGAATAAAAACTAATGTCTTGGAGTGGCATGCTTCCTGCACATCCTGTGGTGCATGCACGGGAATGTGTGTATGCAAATAAGTTCTCCTTTGGCAAGCTAGTAGTCACATCTCAATGACATTTGTGTTTTATAATGCAGGGTATTCTTAATATTTAAACATCCTCGTTACATAGCGCACACGCAGTGGGTAGTTACCTCGTGGTTATTTTTAGGCATAGCGAGTTACTTTTTCAACAGTGTTAGCTAAGCCATTTCTGTTTGGGTTTCTGAGGAGCCCTGCAGTTCCTAGAAGCCCCTGGTAAGCCCACCCTCTGGTTTATTGGGTGGGTGAAGGTAGTTTGATACTTGAGCTTTTTTTGGAATGAAGCTTATGCCAGCGGGAGAAACAGAGGGAAGGATGGGAAAATCCTGCACATGAACTCTTGGAAAGGGATTGCACCATAGCGGCTAATGTTGTGGCATTTAATCTCCTCTGATTGCCCTCTAACTGTGCCTGCATCAGTCAATATTTTAGCGGCTCCACAGACAAATGGGCTTGAATGCCACCTTCCCCATAAAGCAGAGGTTGAAGGGCTTCCCTGAAGCTCCCGCCTGCCTGTCTTTCTCACCATGTAGCTACGTGTCAGTGGTGTAGGTTGTCGGTGCACTTACTCAAGCCCTGATCACTCATGTAATTAGATCAGGCTGCCATGGCAACAGACAGTGTTCCTCGTCCATTCAGGTGGGTTTGTCTTGTGCCTGGACTACTCCAAGTGTTTTATGCACAGTATTTGTGCTGCCCAAGCCAGACGAGAGAGACCTCACTATTTCACTTGCGTCTTCTTTCAGTCATCTGGACGGGAGACACTGAATGAGGCTTCCAGCTACTCAACTTTTGTAAAGGAGACCAACAAGCTGTTCTTACTGGGTGCAGTATGTAAATGCATCTCCCCAGACAGTGAAAGGAGCCTGACAGTCCTGCTGGTGTTTATTGTGAATAGATCAACAAGTATTTGGTACTTGTTAGAAACCTTTCAGAGCTTACCAAAGCAACATTTCTTTTGCAGGCTGGTGCCTTTGGCCTTGCAGGCACTTAACCCTTTCAAGTGGGAAAACACTGGTCCTTTAGAACCTAAGTTGCTAGTCTTCACGACTGGTTTTTTAAAAGAGTTTATTCAGTGGAAGGAACTTATTTGGGAAGGATATCTCCATTGTCATATTTTAAAACTTTACAGCCATCATAACAGAAAACGGTACTGACAATAGGTAACCATTCTGAATGTACTCATTCTCCATTTGGATCTGTTCGCCATCATCTTTACATCTGTGGTAGTAAGTTAAAAGGTTTTTGTCTCGAGTGAGAGAGGATATAGGCCTGTAGCTGGCAGACTGATAATGTGTGGTGCTTTTGCACAGTGAACAACTTGTACTCTATTTTGGGATATAATTTAATGAGCACTTAATAATTTAGAGAGCAGCATTCTCCTCTTTGCATTAGGGCGCCACCTTATTAAGCCTGCGAGGCAAAGAAAAATAATACTGTTGCAAAAAAAAGAGAAAGAAAAGTAGCTTTGGTTGTTGAAGCTTTGTATTGCTCTGTATTCCAGATAAGGGGGAGTATTTTGATAACCCTGATATTTGAAAGAAAAATAATGGAGAAGAATAATGTTTTGATTGAGTTGTGACTCTCCCAGTCGCTTTACAGTGTTACAGCCCCATAGCTAAACTGGTAAATCCTTTTTTCCCCCTGGGGCTAGGATTGAGAGAGCTGCTCAGTCTTCCTCACAGGGGTTTACAAGTTTCTACCGGTTAGTGAGTTTATGCGGTTGGTAACTTGATTGTGGCCTGTTCAGATGAAGCGTTGCTGTGGTTAAAGCAGGCTATTATTTCTAGTAGGTAAATAGATGGGAAGCAAGGATATCAAGTAAAGCACAGAAATTTACATTTTACGAAACTCCTTGGAGGTCCTGGATCACCTTTTGCAACATGCAGAAAATCGCTTTCCTTGCAGTAAAACGTGAACGTGTATTTTTGAGTGCACCAGATAGATTCATGCTAGAGTAAGTATGAAAAATATACTTGATTGGGAACTGCGAAAGACAGTATTTTCCTCTCTGGATTTTGTTTTAAGAGGGTTTGGTAAACAGAAGTGATACTTCATCAGAAATATTATAACTCGGCTTCAGGGCCTTTGAATTGTCTTTTACTCTTAGAGAAAGATTCGAGAAAAACTCTTTACCGTTAGGTTAAATGTCAAACGTCTAGATGACCTTAGGTTTCAGTGTACCTTACTCAGTTGTCTGGGAATCCTGGGAAAGGCCAGCCTTAAGAGATTATTAAAATATTAGTTTTCTATGACTCCTGTTTTTGTTGTCATTACAGAGTTCAAGGACTCACATTCCTCTTGTATAATGTGCCTTTATTTTTTTTCCATTCTGAAATGTCAAGTGGATTTTACTTTTGCGTTTACCTTGAATGACAGTTTTTGATGACAAACACGCTGTAACACTGGCTCATTTTGTTTCCTATTAGAAGTTAGTCCGTAAGCATATTTTACTAAAACCTTGAAACTTAGTGAAGGTAGGAGTGAATGTTAATCCTTTAAACTGTAGTTGTCTGAAATTAATACATAGTTTAGACTCTGAAAAGCTTCAATACTTGCATATGTAAACTGGCCTAGTACAGCAAGACAGTGTCATTTTCAGGGGAACATAGGTAACTTGATTTCCACTGCTTTATATTTTCGGAGTAACTCAATGATTTGAATGATTGACTTCTGTGAGAGAGGTGGATACGTGCAGCTTAACTGCTTCAGAGAACAGACTTCGTTCCGGTCATACTTCCAGGGTTATCAGAAGAAGGCCCCCCTTATTTTGTTAAAAGCGTTAAAAATAATAAATCATAGAAATCCCAAAAGAGTTAATAATTTTTGTTCTGGGGCATTACATACTCGACTGCCCTTTTTTTAAGAACTTTATAGTCATCGATTATGCTGTTCAAAGTTTAGTTTCATTTAATTCAATTTAATAAGATGCTCGTTCAAAATTTCTTTGAGGTGATGTAATAATGAGTATACTGAATGTTAGTTTTAGAGAATATTTTTAAATGTTAGCTGAAAATGTTGGAATTGGATCGAGGTTTTAAAATAGATATATGAATGCTTAAAATTACAGGAGTAATAAAAATATTTACGTAAATAAAATCTTTATTTGTGGAGGCAGTTTTAAAAAATGTTTTTCTTATTTTATAATTTATATATTTTTGTCTGCAGTGTAGTAATATATTTTATAATCCTTATAAATCTAAACTTTTCAGGCTAATGTATTATAAATGTTTGTACTACATATTACTGCCATCCCAAATGTACTAAAATACGTTTAGAACTATTACAGACAAAAAGCATATTTTCTTTCACGTATTTGATGTTAGCAGAAATGTTTCATTGATTTTTCTGTAACTTTTAATGCATCTCATTTGTGGAGTAATGAAAATGCAATGATAATTGCCATAATGTAAGCAAAAATTGTCTCCTATCTGAAAATGACTTTTCAGAAAATTCATTGTAGTGTAATCAGAATTTGAGACTTAAGGGGGCAGAGGTTCCCCTGATTGTCGTATTTGTATTCAGGCTGAGAGGGACTCTGCCCCACCCCCCTTAGGTGCTTTTTAACATGACGTATTTCGAGGGAGTTATTTAGCAGAAGTTTTTAGTGATAATTGTCATAACTGCTAATCTATAAGCATTTCTGCTTCTAACATTCAAAGAAAATGTTTTTTTCTGTCTCTGTGTCTGGCAAATTTTCTTTTATTGCACCCCGGCTTTGTCCTCCTCGCCCTGAAGTCTTTATGTTATCTTCTGTTTGTATATTATTTATACATTATCTCCTCTTCCCTGACTGTCACATCAACGTTATTTAGGCCATCCTTCTTGGTAGTCTGCCACTGTTATTGCTATTGTGTTATGTTACTCTCCTGTGCTTTTAACATGAAATATTCCGTTTTTAGTGTATATATTGTATAAAACATTCTATAGGTTATTCTCTTGTATATTGTTTGTATGTTTTTGCAACGAATCCACTCTGCCTTGCTTTTATTCTTGTGTTTGGAATACAGCAAGTTAGGTTAACTATCTTATGCTAATGGGTGTAGCAACACAAATACTTTTGAAATAAGTAGGCATACCGATGCTAGAGTAAATTAATATTTTACAGCATTTGCATCATGTTTGACTGTTCTCTGCACGTCAGCAGAATAGGAGGAGACTGTAATTTGGACTCTGTAAAACCTTATCTGCCAGGTGATATGTCAATACGATTGTGTGCTCGCACACGTCGATATACAAGCAAACACTGCCTCAACTGTTAGCTCATAAAGCCAGCGCTGTCTGCAAATCCATGGTACCTGCACCTTGTTTGAAAATGATTATCAAGTATTTTGATGCTTCATTTGAGATATTATTAGATAAAATCAACACCCCCCCACCCCCTTAAAACAAGTACTATGTAAAAGTAAATAGAATTTTGTGAGCTTCTGTTTAACTTGGCCGCTATGTGTATTTGTAACTCAACAAGCTTCTTAGTGGCGGGATGGTGTCTTCTAAGGACTTCAGAGACATTACAGTCTAGAACAGCTTACCTTCTTTCTCTGTACTCACAGTTTGCGTGTGGGAAGCCAAGGACTAGAGAACTTACTTCTTTTGTATGTCAGTCATAGGCGTGCAAGAGATGCTTAAACAAATACTTGGTGAATGAATTAGTTAGAAGTAAGAATACTTTGGCTACTATTCATTACTTTGAAAAGTGTTGGAAAGCAATCGAAATTATTTTCCTTTCCAGCTGGGCTGTGCTCTTAAAAATAGTGAGTGTGTATGGATGAAAATAATCATGACTACTGAGATGTGTTGCCGTGTACCCAAGGATAATTGGCTCACTTACCTGTTTACAGATTATTCACATTGGAGATCATATTCATTGCTCCAGAATAGTTTCTTTCTGACACTCAGTATAATCCTGGGCCTTCTGCTTCCTACTGTTACCTGGCGTGGGTTTAGGAAACCCAAGCTAAATTTAAAATCAGCCTAAACAAATATGCAGATCAGCTCCAGTAATCAAAGACTGAAAATCAGTCCAGCAATGACTAGTTTGGGGATTATTTTATAATGACTGTGCTCCTGATTCTTTCTGTTTCATGTGGAAAATTGGGAACTACCAGGATTTAGAAATATTATTTTAATAGCTAGGGCTAAAAACTATGTTAGCCGATCAAGTCCTCAACTTCTTCCATTTCTATGCATAGGTCTTTACCTCACAAAAACTACTACAAGCACCAAGCTTCCTGATGGAAAGGTATATGGAAGATTCATTCATTCTTTCTTTCATTCGTCCATTCACACCTTCACTCATTCATCATACAGTGGATAATTTCTACTTAACCATGTGCAAGGCATTGTGGCAAAATGCAAACGAAGTAGCCATCCGTTCAATGATAAAATAATTGAAAGATTAGTGGAAAGTCTAGTGAATACATGCATACTTTTGAAATTTTTTCTGCATTTGATACTTTTTTCTATCCCATTACACTGGTCTGCTAGTAACTGTGCTGTTTCATGATTGTCCCTCAAGTTGCATGTTGATAGTAATATATGCCACAGTAAAATTAGATTTTGGCTCAATTACTATTCAATCCATGCCCATTTTCACCTGATAGTCCTGTGATTACCAGCATGTGTTTATCAGATGGTTGGTTAGAATCATTAGAGAAAAGAACGACAGTAGCTGGCTCAAGTGGGGAGACCAAGCTCTTCATTTGATTGAAGGGGTGACCTTTTTGTGTGTTGGCCTCCCTCTGAGCCCAGCTGGATAAAACCAGGCCTGCCTTTGTAGCTGGCTGGTATCTGTGTAATTCTCATAAAACAAGATGCAAAATTTGATGTTCTTCAAGTTTAGATTTCAGTGCATAGACACTTTCAGGTGGAATTAGTTTTAAAAGCAATTCGTTCTGTTTTTCATTTTGAATTTCTTCTCCTGCCCTCCCTGGACCCTTGCAGGAGCATCGTGCAGCAAGTCACCAGGGTGGTCCCTTCAAGCTGCAGATTTGTGTGTCATCCTTGTACCACAGTCTCCTCCTCTACGGCCACTACAGGGAAGTCCATCACATATCAGGTGAGTTTTGCAGTGTTCACTAGTTTCCATCTGAGGCTAGAGGCTGACCTGGGAAAATCGCCTACGAGCCATACATTAGCAGTTTGTGAACTGTTTGATATCATTGTCTTTGCAAACTCTATTGTGTGGAAAACTGCGACATTGCCCAGAGAGGTTTTTGAAAACTTGGACGCGGGTGTCTCTCTTTTTGGTTTAATTTCTTTGGTTCATCAAGAAGTCTCCATTTGACTTTGTGATGATGAATTATTGTGTGTTGGGCCTGAGCCTGATCCTTTAATCGTCACCTTTACTAAATGCGATGAGAATGTTTTTGCTACCACACAGTTATCTTAAGTCCCAGCTTTCATGTTTTAGGTTATTGTTGTAGTATGACACATGTGTCGGGAGACAGAGGCCTGTTTGTTCAGTGGCAACCAGTATTTGTTGAATCTTGAATTGCTTTGTGTCTGGTTGGATTTTACAACTTCCTGATTTCTTCATGTACAGTAAGTTTTTCTGGCCTGGAGAGTCATGCAGGCACAGGGTGTATGCAGGGTTGATGACTCATGCTTCTTTGTTGAAGAGAGGACAAGAGGATACTGCCTAACTGAAGTCGGGAGAAATAGAAATTAGATAAAAGTTGGGGCAGTCAGGGTTTGGGAACACTGGTGTACGCAACCAAAGGAGATCGTGAAATAGATCCCCTCTTTTTATTTGTCTTGGGAGTCGTTCTGCCCCAAGCTGTGGAAAGAGACTTGTTCAGAGGTTCCTAAGGCTAGCAGGGCCCCAGAATCACCAGGAGAGGGTAAAAAAAGAGAAAAGAATTTGGGGCTCCACCCTAGACCTACTGAATCAAAATGAACCTTCATGGTCTCTTGGAACCATACTGATGTCCACATCCGGGCAGCTCTTCCCAGGTCCTGTTTTATTTCCTTACTTGGTGAGACGCACAGTCCACTTTTATCAAATCTCACATACAAAAATCTGGATTTTGAACTAATTTGTTAAGAAGTAGATATTTGCTTTACCAAAATGTTCATTTTAAACGTGATTCACCAGATTTCTTTAAATAAAGAGCTGCCTCTTCACACCCAAGATGCAGTGTTTAAGTTATATGTAAATCTTGTGTAATCGAGATAAGGGCATGGGGTTGTGGAACCAGCCTGTCTGGATTTAAAATCTAAAGCTACCTCTGTGACCTTGGGCAATCCTATAACCTTCCTATGCCTCAGTTTCTTCATGTGTAAGATGGAGATGATATTAGAACTTTCTCCCAGGGCTGCTGGGAGGATGGACTGGAATCATACACATACACTGGACGGTGCCTGGCCTGTGGTCTGTGATCCATGGACATAAGCTATCACTGTGATCATGAAACTTATCTCTTGACAGGGTAATTGTAGTGTTCTTGTTTTGTGATGGTTGCTCCTGGACCATACACAACTTGGAGCAAGTAAATATACGCGTACCTTGGTCTTTGGACCAACTCTGTAGACATCTGCCGCTCTGCAGAGCAAATGAGCCTTTTATTTACTTTTCTGCATTTTGGGTTCGTCCTGCTCTCTTACTGAGATAGGATGCATATGTGTTGTTTTTATGTTGTTGTAAGATGGGAACCGATGAGGTGCATGCATAAATGAGGTTATTGGTGGTCTGAGTCAAAACAAAAACCTGAATGATGAGGGTACTGTGCCTCAGAAACGGTAGTCAGGAAAGTCCTATGTGGAATGAGGCAGGAGGTTATCACAAACATTGTATCTTTGTGAAATACGGGACTGCATCCTTTGCATTTTATTGGCTTTGGGTTAGGGAGGTGTTCTTTAGAAGAAAATAGAGTAACTCCAGAGTTACATGCAAAAGTAAACCTCTTCAGGTCTACAAGCGTCAGGTGAATGGAAAGGACTACCATCTCTTATTGTTACTTTATCTTTTAGGGGTGTTATCCATTTTAACAGTTAGATGCTTCGCAGAAAATCCTCAAATTTATGTTTTGGGGAAAGTAGTTTAATTGACTATGTGGTTAATATACATGCAGATTTTTTTTAACCTGTGATGTTTAAGAGAATCATTTGTTAGAACAGAAATATCTCAAGAATTTTGTTGTGAAAAAACAGGCAGTAAGAAGTCATGTCTTTAGGGGCCAGCCCAGTGGCATACTGGTTAAGTTTGCGTGCTTCGCATCGGCAGTCCAGGGTTTGCGGGTTCGGATCCTGGGCGCGGACCTACACACCTCTCATAAAGCCATGCTGAGATGGCATCCCACATACAAAATAGAGGAAGATTGGCACAGATGTTAGTTCAGGGCCAATCTTCCTTACCAAAAAACAGAAGTCATATCTCTTGGGCAATATGTGTAGCTTATTGAGAAGAGGTCTAGATTTTTATAGTATATTAAGCAAGTCTGAGTGTCTTGTAAGTACGCATATTACTGACAAAGTAGTGCGGAGTCACCTTGAATTTTAAGCAGCTGATATTTTCTATGATTGCACTTAAAGGAAGCTTATAGCATTATCTAAACATTTGGCATAAATAATGGCCTCGTTACAGTCCTCACAATTGATACCTAAATGTGGGCAGAGAAACAGTGTCATTCATATTGTACTCTGTTATATTCATTAAGGTTTTTTATTTTTAAATTAAAACCTAAATTACAATTATTTCTGGTTCTACTTATTTTATAAATATGACTCAGCTATAGCAAATTATGACCTAACTTGTTCACAGGTGCTGTCTGTGTAAAGAAATGATTCATTCATTTATTCACTATGTATTTTTTAAACTACTACCACAGTACTATGGGAATTGAAAGTGAGTAAGTGCTACCAGAAGGAGGTTATATTCATCACGGACAGGTGGGGGAAAGAAGAGGTGCTCTGAAATAACCAATGGAAAGCAGAAGGGGGTAGGTTGTACTTACTGGGGCAAGTTCTAGCACAGAAGGAATTCCGAAGAATGATGCTGAGTAGGATGCTGAGAAAAGACTTGGAGGGGGAGGGATCGTTTGAGTTGAACGCTGAAGGCTGGTTAGCATTTCTGTGGAAAGAGATGGATAGAGCGGGAGGAAGACCATTCAAGTGGCTGAGACGTGGCAAGGAAGAGCACGGTATGTAGCCAATGAGGCCGTTTCGGCTGAAGCGCAGGTGCGGTGGACATCTGAGTTGCTGGAGTCTGGCAGACAGTAGAGAGTGTGGGAATAAAATTGCTGAGAGGTCAGGTCTGGAGATAGATTTGGAGGAATGATTGGCATGAAAATGGTCTTAGAAATGGGGAGTTGGGTTCTTGTGCCTGGCAGAAAGTTTGACAGGCAGGAGGAGGTGACTGTATTTCAGCGATGATGTCAGCTCACGTAGAGCATGTAGAGAGAAGGTAATGCAGTGGAGGCAGCAGAGAGGAGCTGGGACGTTGGGGTGGCACAGCCTTTGGATGCTCCTCTTTAAGACCCGGAGTGAAGGGAGGGCTGGTGGAGAAGCTGGGATGATGCATGGGTGGGTGAAAGGGGTCTTCCCTACGTGCTCAGGCATCTTGGAAACTCCGTGCTGAACTTCAGCTCAATGAAATCTTGTTGAAACCTTTATTCCTTTAAGACCTGTAAAAAAATAGAAACTTGAGCTAATTTTAGCTAAATCTAATATGTGTGTGTGTGAAAATGAATGCTGCTTTTGAAATTCAGTGCATGCAGGATCTCTTTTCATTTAAACAAATGATCCCTCTATTTTCCTCTAAACAGTTTTATTAAGAAGATTTTCAGTGAAGCCCAGCACATATTAACAACAATTTCAGCGTTTCCTTTGATCTTTTCCACTGCTGATTTATTCTGCTCACGTGATGTGCGTAAATCACATTGTGCTGTCTACTTGACTCTGGAGCAGTTGTTCATTTGTGGCAATTCATTCACTGTACTTTGATAAATCACATTAATATCCTTGTGTTTTGTAACTTTAGAGGCTTTACGTGTACTCTTTGAAATGTGACGTGTGTGTGTGTGTATCCAGCTATTAGCCACAGCTTTCTGAACAATTTGGCTTCCCATTTATACATTATAGAAAATAAAGTGGTATAGAATTTGTGAGCCTTGGCTCTGGGGAGAAAGGTCCTAAGACTATATAGCTCAAAGTGAAGCGGAGGGCTGGAAGTTAACCTGGTTACATTGCTGTTATCGGGCAGTCTGTTTTAATATAATTAGAGAAAATTTTAGGATAATTTAAGGGCTTTTTGCTTATTTTTTTTCCTGCATTATTTAGATGGGCTGTCTGTATTCCCCAAAATGGCCCAGGATGAGGGCGTGACTTACCTGCCTTTCCTAAAAGATGAGAAGTTTAGGACAGGAGTGATAGGGATGGAGAAGAGAGCTCCAGCGGGGCAGATCACTCTGTCTGTAGACATTTAATCAAGATCTAATGTGTGAGGGGCATTGTGCCAGCTAGGCCCTAAAAGAAATAGAGAGGGGCCGGCCGGGTGGCGCAGCACTGAAGTTCCCACATTCCACTTCGGCAGCCCAGGGTTCGCTGGTTCAGATCCCAGGTGCGGACCTACACACGGCTTGTCGAGCCATGCTGTGGTAGGCATCCCACATATACAGTAGAGGAAGATGGGCACGGATGTTAGCTCAGGGCCAGTCTACCTCAGCAGAAAGAGGATTGGCAGCTGATGTTAGCTCAGGGCTAATCTTCCTCAAAAAAAAAAAAAGAAATATAGAGATGGTCATTGGTTGATACTTTCTTTCTCATTTAAGCCTCACTGCAGTCCTCTGAGGTAGACACTATTATTAGCTCCATTTCACAGATGGGAAACTGAGACACAGAGAAGATACGGAACTTGCTCAGGGTTGCCCAGCTGTTAAGTGGTAGAGTCATGCTTGGACCTCAGCCTGTACTCTTAACTGCTGCTGTGCATTTTCTCTCAAGCCCTGAGCCCTGTCCTTAAGAAGCTTACAGTGGAGTCCAGAGGCCACGCGAGCCCAGGAGTAATATTTAAAGAACCGTAACAGAGGTGCAGATACTCTCAGAGGTCAGGCTCAGAGA